TTGTAGATCATTCTTGATGCTTATGTATGAAGTTTGTATTGTAGATCATTCTTGATGCTTATGTATGAAGTTTGTAGATCGTTTAATGGAGTCAGATGTTTCTTGGTGTGCTTATGTATGATGCTTATGTATGAAGTTTGTATTGGATTCACTCAGTTTCTGTTGGATCTTTTTGGTGATATAAACCTAATCATGGATTATGTTATGAATCTCCCCTTAAAAACTTTTAGTTTTGTCCTTTTTTGTTTTCGTGTAGATTGAAGAGTTCGGCCAGAATAGACGAGAGTGAGATGTATACTCTTGATGGTATACGAAGTTCTTTAATTCGACAAGAGGATAGCATTATATTCAGCCTTGTGGAAAGAGCTCAGTATTGTTACAATGAGGACACCTATGACCCCAAAGCTTTCTTCATGGACGGCTTTCAGGGTTCGTTGGTTGAGTTTATGGTCCAAGAAACCGAAAAGATTCATGCCAAGGTAAAATCAAGTTCAATCTGAAGCTGATAATACATAAATTAAGTCAATGGTTACATAAACTTGGTGATTGGTTTTTGAAACAGGTTGGAAGATACAAGAACCCTGATGAACATCCTTTTTTCCCATCCAACTTGCCTGAACCTATGTTGCCTCCTTTGCATTACCCACAAGTAAGATGATAGCTTTACCCGTTCTTATGTATTATTGTGTTTGGATCAATCGATGTATTTTGATAGGATTTGAATATATCTTAAAATTGACGATGGTATATTTTGGTTAAAACGAATTGCTAGTTTATAATTCAGATGTAAACTTTGTAATGATGATAAACAAACATATAAAATTGTGTAAATGTATATAAATTCAACGTTATAATATTTTGAAGGGTAAAATAGACAATTATACAGATTTATGCATCTACCAGTTTTAAAAAACAAACAGTTTTGTTGATCATGTTTTCAGACTTCAGCACCACCTCTTATCAATCAGAAGTGAAATAAAACTTCAGACTTAGTGCTTCTTAAAGAACAAACAACACCTAAGTTTGATACATGTCGGTGTATGGACCAACATTGGGAGAAATGAGATGCTTAAATGCTTCTCATCATCGTGCGATGATGTTAGAACTTGTTTCCCTCCTCGAATACGTCTTTAAAATCGCTTGAAATCAATGAACTTGATATGCCATACAGGTGTTGCATCCTAGTGCAGATCTAATCAACATCAACAGCAAAATATGGGATATGTATTTCAAGAATCTTCTCCCTCGTCTGGTCAAGAAAGGAAATGATGGTAATTGTGGATCAGCAGCAACCTGTGACTCCATCTGTTTGCAGGTAAGACATCTTAACCGATGCAAATTTTCATCTTTGCCCATGTGGAGGAACTCAAACTCAAAAGCTGTGCATTTATTTTGAATACCCAATGACGATAAAAATGCACTCTTTAATTTCTTGAAACTGTATTCACGCAGGTCCTCTCTAAACGAATCCACTATGGTAAATTTGTAGCAGAAGCAAAGTTTCGAGCTTCACCAGATGATTATGAAGCTGCTATTAGAGCACAAGTAACGATTCTCTCATCTGTCAACAATTTTCTTTCCGTTTAATCACTTTTTGGCAAGCGTTGTATGGGAAATGCTTTCAAATTTGTATAATCTTCCGACTTCCTAATGGTTTTACAACGGTGCAGGATAGGGGAAAACTGATGGATTTGTTGACATATCCGGCTGTGGAGGAAGCGATCAAGAAAAGAGTGGAAACAAAAACAAAGACTTATGGGCAAGTGGTCGATGTTGGGTCCATGGAAGTCGAACCGGAGCCAGTGTACAAAATAAAACCAAGCTTAGTTGCTGATCTTTATGGGATTTGGATCATGCCCTTGACTAAGGAAGTTCAGGTCGAGTATTTGTTAAGAAGACTTGATTGATTCAATAATACTTGTCTGATATGTTGAATAATGTTTCGTGGAAGACTTGATTTAATGTCGTGTGGGTCCACTGAACGATCGGATTACTTTATGTCACGTGTAGGGATAAAGCTTCTACATATAGATTTTCGTTTTTTTGTTGTATAAGTATTATGTAAATGTTTAAGTTAAGATTTAAGGTTTGAGATTTGTTGTTTTTGAAATAAATGGAAGTTTGTATATCTTGATGTTGAACTTAACTTGTACAATCGGTTATTGTTACAGAATAATTGTTTTTATGTTGTCGATTTTTTAAGTTTAACTGTAGAATTCTTTTCCATAAATAGTAATTTGAGTAAAATGTTCTACTTGTGGTAAACACTTGATTTGTGGTATAATGATTCTCTCATTTCACCCTATTTTAATTATCAATTTCAATTTCATTTTCATTTTAGTCCCTATAGTTTGTTAAAAGTTACGATTTTTGTCTTTATGGTTTTTGAGTTTATGTTTGTAATTTATTGTTATTTTAGTTCTTATGATCTACAATTTATTGTTTTTTCAATCCCTGTAATTTACAATTCTTTACTGTCTCTTTCCCTTGAAAATAAAAATGAAAATGAAAATAAAAATGATAATAATTTCTAAACAACAGGGACGAAAATTGTAATTCGCTCTAATGTTTTGTTCTTTGTCTTTATTGTCCATAAACCACAAATGGTGAGATGGAGAAACGAAGACGATGGTAATGGCGGCTAATATCGAACGCAGAGAAAAGGGGTGATCAAGAGAGAAGGATGCTACATTCCATCTTCTTCTCTCCCATCTCCGATCATCTCGCCATTCCCAGATGGCAAAACCACTCATCCGTGGAATTACTATTGGAATTGGACGAGGCAGAATTAAACCACCTTTCCTTTTCCCGAAATAGGGTTTGTTGTTTGGGGTTTGTCTCAATTCTTTGCAAATATCTTCATCTCTTACCCTCCTTATTCAAAGGTCGATTTCCTTCCCTTTCACCAGGTTCAGACCCGATTCTCCCTTCTGGGTGTATCTGGATCTCCCCAAAATCTGTCGATTCGTTTGACGGGTTTTGGGGGGTCAATGTAAATGGGTTGCATCAGCTCTAAACATGTTGCTAAATCTTCTATTTCCCCTCTTCATGATTCTTCCCTCACCTTTACGGATGATGCCAAAGCCTCCAGACGTTCTTTGAACTCGTCTACATTTCGTAATCGTAATTACAATCACGATCATAATTATGGGTTATCGGCGAATATCAAAGAGGAAACAGAAGACGATGACAAGATCATTATCGACAGCAAAAGGAGTAATCTTGTCGTGGATGATGGAGGTCTCGAATCTGTGAATAACAATAAGCACTCCAAAAGGCCTGCATTTACGTTTAATATAAGATTTGGAAGATCGACAGTAGCTGAACATGTTGCCGCGGGTTGGCCCGCCTGGCTTATTGCCGTCGCCGGTGAAGCCATTGATGGTTGGACCCCACTAAAATGGGAAAACTTCGAGAGGTTCGAAAAGGTAAACCATCCATTTCTTTCCAATTGCATAATATTTCTTACAATATATTCAACGGGCACCGATCATTTCATATTCTTTCTTGTGTAAGATTGGACGAGGAACATACAGCAGTGTGTACCGTGCACGCGATCTCAGAACGGGTAGAATGATGGCACTGAAGAAAGTGCGATTTGATAATTCCAATCCCGAAAGCGTGAGTTTTATGGCTCGAGAAATTACAATTCTTCGAAAGTTAGATCATCCAAACATCGTGAAACTGGAGGGGATAATTACGTCCCGTGTGTCAAGTAGCATTTACCTTGTTTTTGAGTATATGGAACATGATCTTGCCGGACTTCTATCGTCCCCCAACATCAGGTTCAGCGAGTCCCAGGTTTGCCATGATCACCTCGTTAAACCTTCTGTCGCACAGAAAGTAATCATAGAATGTTGTTTGAAAGAATTTGTTGGGTGCAGATCAAATGCTATATGCGGCAGTTGCTGAAGGGACTTGCTCACTGCCATTCGCGAGGAGTTCTTCATCGAGACATCAAAACATCAAACATTTTGGTGAATAATGAAGGACAAGTGAAGATAGCAGATTTTGGTCTCGCAAATCTCCTTGCATCAAAGAGCAGGCAACCATTGACGAATCGTGTAGTGACAATGTGGTATCGACCTCCTGAGCTCCTCTTAGGATCTACAGATTATGGGACATATGTAGATATGTGGAGTGTGGGCTGTGTTTTTGCTGAACTTTTTAAGGGTAGGCCCATCCTCAAAGGGAGAACAGAGGTAAAAGAACACTACAAAATCTCTACTTTATACTTAGATTTAGAAGCTGGTTGTTTGGCTTTTGTTTAGTTCTTAGTCGAACCACATTTGCAGGTAGAGCAATTGCATAAAATATTTATGCTTTGCGGCACTCCCCCGGATGAGTACTGGACGGACCCGGCACTTCCTCTGGCTACAATGTTTAAACCACAGCATGCTTATGATAGCTCTCTTAAGGAAAAATTTGAAGAACTCCCGAAAAGTGCCGTGAGCCTAATCCAGACTCTCCTTTCAATAGAACCTGACAAGCGTGGGACTGCTGCATCTGCTCTTGAATCGGAGGTAACACTTGCAAACCTTGCATTCTCAATCGATTCTGGACTTCTCATATCACGAATTAAGAAAGATTTAGATTTTTCTAACGAGGTGTGTTGATGTTTTGTTGAACTTTAGTATTTCAAGACAAAACCTTATGCTTGTGACCCTGCAAGCTTGCCAAAATACCCACCCAGCAAAGAGATGGATGCAAAGTTTCAAGAGGAACACAGGTGAGTTTTCTTTTTCTTTGCATACAGCCGGGTGAATCTTACCCATATCATGACCAAAAAAATGGAAGCTTTCTGTGCTGTGTACGGAATGTTTAATGTCTTATATAAGAATCAAGAACTGAAGATCACTTGGAATTTTTGATATAGATATAATATGACTTGAAAAACTGATAAATTTCAGGAAGAAGGCTGGTGTCAGACTTAGGGTATCTGGGGCTTCCAGAAGTCTGAGAAGAGGCCAAAAGACTATGCAAGAACAAACTACTTTCTATAAAGTTTCGACAGAGGTTTCTTTCTCACCATTCTTGGTTCTTGTGTTCATTGCTTTGAGTTGTTGACGGTTAGTATCTAAAATGAGTTTATTTTTGGTATGAAGAGTCAGGCACGTCGAAATGCTTATTTTTATGGGGCTAACGGATCAGTTGACACAAAAGCGTCATACGACACAGTATCGGATGTTTCCCAAGCCACAGAAGCATCTCAAGCTGACACGGTTTGTACGTTGCCTGCACAAACTACCACATCAAGTGGGTGGTCAACAAAAAGGCGAAAACATGTCAGCTTTGTGACCCCAACAAGTCAAGATGTCCATTCGATAGAGCCAAGACAGGCACCATTAATGCCTGAAAGTGAAAATTTCAGGAGCAGGGCACAAAGTGGGTTGAGAAGAGCGAATTATGCATACGAGTCTCAAGATTTATCATCTGTAAGTCATCTTAGATTAAAATGAAAGATCAAAAGCAACCCTTTTCGACCCTATTAAGAAAGATTGAATCTTTTGGGGATATATGTTGTTTGAAATGTAGCAGCAGCATCACGAAGAAGAAAGGGTAGAATACTCGGAATGGCATAGAACCAATGTGAGGCAAGAAGGTTACAGTCGCAATGGCGTTCCTCGATCACGATTTTCAAGAGGTACTAGCAGCAATGTTGTTATGTAAATATAGTTCTACTTTTCCACCTTCATTTTGTGGGTCTGTTTGTTGAAGCAAGAAGAGAAAAGAAAATAAAAGGCAAAAGTTTGATAGTTGATGTGATTGTTGGTGGTATAGATGCAGAATGAAGAGAGGCAAATGGAGGTCCAACAGAGCCTGGTGATTGATTGATTGATTCTTTTTGAAGAATGAAGGGAGAAGATGAAGAAGGAGAAGAGAGAAATGGAATTGAAAAGCAACATGCATGAGAGAAATGAATACAAAACACAAGTAAAGGCTTGTAATCTTTAAGAGGGTTGATGAAAACAAACATAAAAAATCCATCTTATCAACCCCTAATTAACTCTGATTGATTTGTAAATGTTCATCTTCTGTTCCATTCCTTTTAACCTTTTTCTTTTAATACAGAACTCCATTCTAAATAACAAAAAGACTTGGTTGTTTATATAATTTCGTTAGCGCTTAGTACAAATGCGTGCCAATTTTTAGACTAACAAGAATTCACCCTAACGCAAGTGGTTGTCTTATTGAATCCTCTTCCAATATCGTCATCAACTGAAAAGGGTTTTTTAATTAAAAAAAGGGTAATACATCTGATAAATATATATTAAAGAACGGAAAAAATAACGTTTTAATGCATTCTAACACATTCATAGTTGATTGGTCAAATAATACCCTCCCCTACATTACAGCATACTCATTTTGGATTATTTTTTTGACACATTAATCTCATTGTAGTGGCTTATTTTGTTATTTACCAAAAAAAAGTGTTCATCCCTTAAACCTAAATGTAATAACATTTCTAAATCATGGAATAAATTGTACTTTTTTTAAACTAATTTAGCAATATGTACACTTTCTATCCCCTAACTTTTTTTTCGTTGCAATCCAACTATCATTACTACAAAACACATGGGAATGAGTGCTTATTGACAAACCATCTTCAAAGGCAAAAAAAAACCCCTCCTAAACATCGTACAACAATACGTGTAAATCTAGAGTTTAGTGGGTAATGTCATTTATAAAACCTTTTGGTTTTGAATTTTAGGTAATCACGGATACCCGAATCGAATCGAACCGAATGTTTATATAATAATTAAGTATTTATTAACCCAAAGTTAATTGTTTAAAGTCTTTTACATTTTGATATCAATAATTGTGATGGATGGTTAAATTTGATGGTATGAAGTCGTAAAAGAGTTAATATTAACCGAAAAATGGATGGTTTTAAATAATTAAACTTAATTTAATTTGTAACACTTTGATTATATTCATTTATTTGTTGTGCAATTATTTTAAATGTTATATTTTGGTACCATTTTTATATTGTAAATGATATTTTTTTTTTTATAAATTCGTGTAACCTTGAACCAAACCGCGAGTAGCCACCTTATTCAGTTTGGTTTCGATTCAGGGTAGCCAGGTATTCGCCTCATTCACATTTTCCCTACTAACCGAACTGAACCGTGAACACCCCTACCAAAAAACGCTTGAAAGTAAAAGATCGCTTAAAAACAGATCATGATTCATGCACAAGTGAGTGAACTTTTTCTGGTATTTACTCTGTGTATTCCCATTAGTACATCAATTAGAGGAAACATGATTCTTGCTTGTATATATTTGTCTGTCGAATAACAAAGAGCAGAAAATGAAGAATCTTCATGAATGGGTAACAATGGAGGGTATTTGTCCATGATTCACAAAGTCAATCTTGTTCAATCTCAAACAGCAAAGCACTTTCTCAGGCAATTCTTCAGCCTTCTGTGCCTGTTTCATCACCCTCCATTACTACTTCCCTGCAATCTGTTTCTAAACATTCAAATCAAAAATTCACAATTATTACCTGAATGGTTAGGCCCAGATTCAGAATCCCATTTCTCAGCCGTTCACGAAATGCTTCTAATCCCTTCCTTGCTATGTAACTAAACCGATGAATGTCCAAATCGATTTCAAAGTAATTTGATCCCTGCACTCAGATTAAGAACAAAGATTATGTCCCATTAACAATGGAGAAAAAAAAAAGAAGCTCGAAAGGTGGTGGGTACCTGATAAAAGTTGTGTTGAGGTCGTGAAAGAACGGGTTTTTCATTGTAAGCATGCAATAGCTTCCTTTCGGTGCTACTGGAAACAAGTTCTTCAGGGTTCAACACACCCACCATGATCTTCAGCCTTTCTCTGAAAGCCACAACAGATTCTTTCGCGAATCCCTTCACCTTTTCCATATCATCGTCGATTAAACTCTGCAATGAAGCTTGAAAAATGTAATCTTGAAAGTTCATCTTTTAAAATAGCACATGAAAGAATCATGCGTTCATTATTTACCTTGATGCTCTCTTGAAACCGAGAAGATACATCTTTCTCGCATGTTTCAGAGAGTTTGAAATATAGCACAAGACTCAAACCCTCACCATCACTATCACCATTGAACATAGCAGTAGGATAAGTAGGCAACTGTCAGAAAACGTAAACAAGTTTACATTATATAACTTTTGTCTCATCGAACCATATTAACATCCAAGAAAATGAATACTGAACCGTGAAAAAGATAATCTTGAACCTGAATATTGACGATGAGAAGAGATGGAATTTTTCCGTCACCTTTGACGGAAGGAAGCTCGAGATGTTGGCCAATGTGGTTAACTTTTCTTGGGCATGTAAAGAGATCAACTCCTATTGGCGTGTAAGGACAATAACTTGGAGCAGGCGATTTTGTTTTATATCTGCAAGTTAATTTCTTATTTGATTAAATACTTATTTCTGCATAACTTTTATATTTTAAATGTGCACAAAGTTGATGGCATACTTAAAAAAGTTGTCATCTCGAAGTGTGAAACTCGACGGGTCAATAGCAGACCAACATCCTGGGCGCGGCTTCTCATCTGTACAACGCGGAATCAAGAGTCCTGGTCGGGGACGATATAAATATTTTCTTGCAGAACCTGCAGAAACAAAAAAAGGTGCTTGATTTGTATTGTAGCTTCATAGTTTATGCGATTTCACAAAACAATTACTGTTATACTTCCATAAAACTTCAAACTTAAATCCTTTCACAAACAGATATAAAGAGCAAATTGAACTTACAGATTTCACTAGTTTCTTCTCTATCAAGTGACGTTCTCTTGAACGAAAGTCTGATAACTGCTGATTTCCTTATCTGAATCTGTGGACCTGAATTCGACGTGGCATTGATCTTATCATTGGAATTAACACAAAAGGAATAACTGAAGTATATCACACTTCGATTCTTGAAAGAAGTTATCTTTAATGCCATTAAAGCTTACTGTATTCAATGGTACTTACACTTGTTTTCAGCAATGCACGATGATGTCTCATACTGAAGCACTTGTCCACTTGATGAATTACGAAAACCATCTGTGAAAATTAATTTTAACAGACAAAGTATGGATAAATATAAATTTCTTTTGAAGCATTTGAGTTCCTAAGCATACTCTCTCTGTCCCATAGAAATTGCAACTTTGACAACTAGACTTTCCTATTTGCCCTATGACATCGCTAAGAAAATTGATGTTACTGATTTGGGCATTTAAGACATTTTAGAAATAATCACATACTTCAACTATATGCCATGCGTCCATGGGACAAAGGGAATGCTTATATTATTCAGAAAGGATGTTTATGTTCATTACCCTCATGAACGCTAACGAAATCATCATCAGACTCAGATTCATCGATTTTACTGAGTGAGTCAAACCATGATTCTTCTCGGCAAATCACTGCAAGGCAAAGTGTCATTTTAACATTGTGAAAAAGTGGTCTTATCGGTATGGTACAAACATGGCCAGCCCCTAGAAGTCACATGGAAATGGAGCTTTAACGTTGTAAATTTACAAAAAGAGAACAAGAGGAAGTACCGCTAGCATCAAACTGACTGTGGTGCCATTCCGTCTGAGTGAGATTAAAACTGGAATCAGAAGTTATATTTTTACAAGAGGTGGTGGTACGAACAAAAATGCTTTTTCCTGCATTGCTGTTTCTCTTCATCATTTTCGCATGCTTACGTATCTTTTTGGTATGACGATGCCATGGTTTCCTAGATTTTTTAGCATGGGATGAGACACAACCACCCATTAATCTCTCTTTCTTGAAATAGTAACAAGCAAGTCCCTGATAAATCAAATATATGTTGCAGCTCATGAATGTTAGCACAAGTTTGACAGAACTGTTTGATCAGTTAAACGCCTCAGATACCGTAAACAATGACAAAGGTGGAATCTTAAGAACCCAAATCAATATAAACCAATTTCTTGCAAAAGAGATGGTAGGCAGAGAGGTAATTTTTACTTTAAAGATTTCCATTTTCCAAAATGAAAAATGTTGCATTTCATATAAAACACCGCAATATGAAAGAAATCCCAATAAACATAGAACAAAGGAAGTACCATCTGTGGAAAATGAAGCTAGAGCTAGCATATGGTCAAATTTAGTCATCAGAAGTATACAATTCTTTTAAGTCTGAAGTAAAAAGTGAAGACATTTGACACTCAGAAGTCAAATGCAGGCCCTTTTGGACATCGGTGGTTAAAACGTACTACAACTACTTTCTGGGAAATGGATTGGATGATAAAAGAGAGCATACCTTAGCAAGGATCAAGATTTTGTAATAAAGCCAATATCAAGATAATGAATCCATGAATTCTGTCAGAAATTGCACATTTAAGTAATAATCTTGAATGAAACAAGTAATAATCTTTAAAGCAACCCAAATGGTGAATCTTGTAACACAGCAATGGATCAAACTCAAAAATATTGTACATTTAAGTAATTACAGAAATAGTAGCTTATAAGGATTAACCAGTAATCTTTAAAGTAACCCAAGTCAAATTCTGAAGGAAAATAGAAGCATCCATTGTAACTTCAAGTATAAAACTCAAGAAAACGATCTGCTTTTCGATCATGGAGATCAAAATACCAAATACAATGACAAGAACTCCGATGAGAGATCGATTCTTGCTGTGCCAGAAAATAAGCGAGTCACCAAGAAAGAAACGATATCTGGTGATGGAATTTTAGGAAAGAAAAAGATGAGGAGTACTTGCAACGGTTGATATTTTTCTGATTCTAACCTAAAGATGATAAATTAATTGATTCTCCCAGCAATAAAATTGTAAAGTTATGTCAAATAATTCTATAAATACCCATATGAGAATATTGTGCACTGGAAGCAATTAACATCAAATAATTTCACAAATGGTGACCTTAGCTCAGTGTGAGTTTATTTGTTCTATTTGTCGTATATAAATATTATATACTTCAAAAAGAGCCATCAAATAATTCCTATTAATGACCAGACAAGAAAGTTTAACTAGATAATCTGCCAAATAAAACATATTTAATGATTGAAATTAGATTGAGACCAACAATATGAATATGGGCATGCATCAAAAACTGTTAATATTTACAGAACTTGATGATAAATTTGAAACTATTTGAAGTTCTTCCCGACTGCAGACAGAAGGCCACGAAACACATCTACATCTTTACATAAACAAGTTTGCATTTTTTACCTTCATTTTGATTGGATCTTTCAAGAAAAAACTAGGGTTAGATGCATCAAAACAAAATGGATACTTGATAATATGCATTTCATAACATAAAGAAAGAACTTCCTATAGATACATACATACATACATGTATATATATACATATACAGAGAGAGAGATGAATAGAGAAAGGGACCTGAAAGAGATGACATTGTTATTAGCTCCTTCCCCATCTCCCTCTGCAACAAATTGAAGGAACCCCACCGAAGGGAAGGCGGACGGTGGGTCCGACGCTTCGAACCGCCGGAATCAGTTACCACAGCCAATTTATTTATTTATTTATTTCCTTTTTTGAAGCCCAAAGATGAGGATTTAATTGATAGTTTGAAGGAATCAATTTATAGCGAGAGAAGAAAGAGGAGAGTGTTCGTTCTTCTCTTTCTGGTGTCCGTCGGCCTTTCTCTTGCCACGTCATCATATGTTCTTTGGCAAAAGAAAGGCTTTTTTTCCGACTGAATCTTTTCAGTTCCGAGTCCTTTTCCTCTTAATACAAAAAGAGCCCCTCATCTTTCATATTATTACCTTTTACCCCCTTTTGGTTTTTTCAAATCAACCCATCAGTCACTGTTGCTGCATTCGTGGAGATGAAAGAGAACAAAGTTGAAAGCGACAAAATAATCTTGAAATGTCTTTTCAATATCAATTGCTAATAAACATATCTATTTATTTTTTATGGCAAAATTATTTAAAAAGAATTCCAATAGCTTAGAATAATTAAGAAGTGAAACCGTAGATACACATTTACCTGTTAATCTTATATCATATACATTAATATTAAGACTTACTTTTTTATGCATAATTTGATTAAATTTTGATATAAAATGACGTGTATATAAGAATTTTACTTTTAAATATATAAATCAAGTGAAAATTAAACCAAATCAAAGTAACATGGTAAATCTCACGTATGGTTTAATAGCATGAATTACTTTTTCACATATCGTTTGAACATGAAATTCTACTCCGTCGTAAGAAACACGTCGCATTTTTTTTACATTATGCATTTCTTTTTTCCATTTTGACAAAATTGTCAAATAATAATTTTACCAAATTTTAATTACAATTCCATTACAGATTCGGGAACCAAAAACCCAGCTTGAAAACCAATATTGTATGAGACCGTTTTTCAATCAGAAATTGGAAGTTGGAACGAGATAATCTTGAACCAAAATCCAAATCACCAATATATCGAAACCGAAATCACAAATTGTATAGTAAGATTGTGGGATTTAGTACTTGAGAGAGATAATCTTGAAAATCGCATTCCCCTCTCAATATAAATGTACCAAAAGCTTTGTCAAAACCTTCCAACAGATGATATGATCAAAGAACCTCAAGTCAAGCAAGTTGATGATCAACTAACAAACAGAAAACCGAAAACCCGAACCAAGTATTTTTCTACACTGGTAAATATTCATTTTCAAAACACAAATATAAAGAAAAGAATCTCGATCTACATAACAGGAATTGATGTATGTAATTGTATGTATGTTACACCCTGAATATACAACCGAACACCAGGAAGAGGTATAATCCTTAATAACCAGGGATGGCTGCATATCGGTAGCCTTGTGCACCCCTCCATGAATAATAAGCGATCCGCGTCTCATAGAAGCCTAAAAGGGATGAATCATCGTCAGAATGTAAGGAATTGTTCAAAGGTTGACACCTAAAATAACCAAATCAGTTCTTTACACTAACCAAACCCACTATATCTCACCTGGAAGTGGGGTCTCCACTCTCCAGTGAAATGTATGCAGACCTAACCTCTACCCCGAAGAGTATAGTGGTTGTTTTCGTGAAGACCAAACCAGTTCTTTACACTGGTGATGCCAAATTAGAAAGGACATCTTTTAGCAGTAACAGAAGTCGAATTGAATGAAACTAAGGTTACCTTACTTGGGTCTTACTTCATTTAAGGCAACATTTCTGATAATATATTCTGTGGTCCCAGATTTACAAATTTGAGGAACAAGCGGCCATTAATTTCTTATATGTTGAAACTAAGCACCTTGGAATAGAGGGGACTGTAAACAATTAACACATAACTACCAGTCAGCATAGTGGAATTTTGCTTCTCGGTCTATACATTTGGCATACTTTTATGTACTCTTCTCTTTATTGCCTTCTTTTTAACTGAATGGTTATAATCAATAATTCATCTATGTCTTCCATTCTGTTTTCAGCCTCTTGAAATGATGCAAACATTTTCAATTAATCAAATAGGTTATGTGAAAAATTAAGAGAAACCCAAAATCTCAAAATATTCAAGTGCTAGATATCTAGTTAATTGAGATGAATCACAATGCTAGCACATTAATGAACTCTAGAATTATCAAAATTCCATTGAAATGAGTCAAAATCTTCAACTAACACTCATGTGCAAAGTATTTTATACATAAGCAACTTCAAATGTGTATATCTGCTAGAAAATGCAGTTAACAAGAAAAACTAGTGTAGTATTTGGCAGATATAGACATGACTACCTGTTATACCCAAATTAACCAATATTCACGATGTATAGAATGAAGGATATCATCAACGTACCCGGGAGGAAGGTGAGAACCCCAAGTCCTAATAGGCCATATGCTTGGGATCTGTCTCCACCCATGTGACCTGTGAAGATGAAGAACGAGAGGAGGAGAAGCCCACATCCAAGGAAGAGCAGAAAAAGTGCAAGGGCAATGGATTTCCATGGGACTTCATCCAAGGTTGCTGGTGAGTAGTCAAACCGAGGGTCATATCCTTCTTTGCCTATATAGTCGTTGTCTTCATCAGCAAGACGTGTGTAATTAATTTTCCGCCTAGATGCCATCCCAATAACTTCAACTTCAAAGTATGCAAAAGACGTCCAGAAGCACTCAAATCAAAACTTGAGCCAGGTCACTTTGAGAAAACATCACAGAATAATTAGGTTAACTGATTAGCACTAAGGCTTCAAAGCTCTGAAACAGATATATTAGTTCAACAAGTAGCATGCTGACTCCAATAAATAAATTTTTAAATGTTCAATCAACAAAAGTTCAGAAATCAAACAGAAGCATCATGCATGAAATCTACTTTATGGCAAAACATACACGAGTTGTGGGAAAAACACACATCACCAATGGGTCAAAATCCAAAAGGTTCAGATATTTCGACTGTGCATAGCACGCTTTGAAGCTTGGTGCTAGCAAATCACAGCGTTTTTTAATCCCAAATCTAACTCTGTTATAAGGTCAATATATCACCACTCTTTGCAGAAATGGGACCAATAGATAAAGTGAAACGAGCAGCCGATGGCATTCTATCTAAGATTTCAAAAATCATAGAAATCTCGAGCAGCTTTGTCTTAAATTTTCCAGAGAGACAAATACAAATTTACTCCTGTTTGTTTTTTTGGAAAATACCTCTTATTCACCTCTTATGTCTTGTCAAATAAGAAGTTAGAGTTATAAGACTTTGTTTTTTTTTTGTGATAAGAGCTTAAAACCTCTTACTTTCCTCTTATTGGACAAGAGGTTAACCCACATCTTATTAACCTCTTTACCCTCTTATTTCATTGCTTCCACGCTTGTCCTTTTACAAGCTCTCACAATGTTCCTTCCTTACAACTCATTTTACTCGCTCATTGGCTTTACAAGTGCCATCTCCACCTCCACCACCACCACCCCGCTGAAACTGGGAAGAAACACCACTCAAACCTCTCCATTTCTCTTCGATTGGCATTTGGGTGTCCTATAACATCACAAATTTATCAAAGGGACTTTGGCCTAGCGGTATGTGAGTCCTTGGCCTTCTAGGAGGTCAAGGGTTCAAACCTCACCAAAGGTGAGGAGGGTGTGTGAGTTTATTTGTTCTATTTGCCGTATATAAATATTATATACTTAAAAAAAACATCACAAATTTCTGGGGTTTTCTCTTTTTCCTACATAATGTTGCTTTAATCGATCTGAACAAATTCTTTTTATATAAATTCAAAAGGTTGCTGAAATACATAGGTAACGTTAAAAGAGTTCAATTGTTTCAAAAAGTGTATTATAGTTACAAAAGATTTCTTGATAATTATTTTACATATTTACAGGTAAAAATGAATTTTTTTTGTTATATAAATTCAACATTATACTATTGTGAGAGGTAAAATAGACAATTGCACACATTCAAACATTTATCACTTTACAAAAACAAACAGTCTTATTCAGACTTCAACACCGCCTCTTTATCAACAAGTGAAATAAGACTTTAGAGCTCAGGACCTCTTAAAAAACAAACAACACCTTGGACTTCTATAAACCTGGAGATCTTTAGTAACTTTAAGTAACTTATTTGCCAAGATTTGAAACTATATGCGATCAAACTCACCAGCTGAACTTCTCCCTCCTCTGGTTTTATATGACTATACAAAGGAGAGCATTCACCTAATGACAAAAATAATACACATACACACCCAAAAAGGAGAAGAAAACATTGACGGAGAATAAGTGCAGATTGCATAAACCACCCAACTTGGCAATCTGTGATATGATTCTCCAATTGGGTCTTAAAACACATACACATCAAGATTTTTATGCTTCACTAATATGAAGAGTGTTTTCTTTTAAAAGAAAAGTAACTTTAATGACGTGGTCATGAGAATGCATAAAACCCATGAGGCAAGAAACCTTTAAGATGGGGGAACATAATCACTTAATCAGATCTTCCCTGAACCTATTTTCTTACTGGCTACTATTCTTAGTTCCTCTTTCAAAATTTGTTTTGAAGCACTCAAGTCTTGTTCTGAACCTCTTCGCAAACACTTTTTTGCAAGTTGGGGTTCTTCATGTAAGCAATCGCTCTACTCAGGAAAGGTTTGGGTACATCCCCCAAACCCTCCTCCATTGGGATATACTGGGCTCAATTGGTTTATGTACATGTGTATGCGTAGGGAAAGTATGCATGTGTATCATCAAGTTCTCTTGCATACGTGTGTATGAAGAATGTGCTTTTTTAACAAATAATGTGTTTATGATGTAGTGATGACAAACAGATAATATAAATGTCCAATGAATCTCCTATGAAGCTCCAACATAGCTTGGATGTTAATGGATGAAGAAAGAAAGTTGGCATATCTTGTAATTTTTTTACATTTGAAAGTCTATAGGACTATGTACCCTTCAAAATAGAGATATGTACCTGTTGAATGATCAAAACACTAATAAATGGTAGATCATACACTATCTTAAAAGTTTGATGACTTCAGATACAATTTTCTTTTATGACTATTATTGGTGCAAAAAAACATCTTGGTTACATTGACTTCAATCTGAACACCAGCTTTAGCTTCATGCCACACTTCTCATGTGTCTTTGCCTAGTTGTGAAGCAATGTTCACAATGATACACTTAAGGAAGCATTTGAATTCCAGCCAAGTGCATAAACTAGTCGTGCATAATTTTAAATAAAGATAAAAGATCAAGCATTTACATGTACATTGTACGTGTCATTGCAAAACTTTAGGTTAAATGCAGGTTGAGTTCCAATTGAAATTCTCATTTAAGTGTCCTACTACCCAAACAGAGACTGATACACAAAATTTCAAGAAGAAGAAAAAACAGTAGGCATCACAGTTTATCATAATGGAAAAAAACTTCAACCATGCATTGTTCCCGTTGATAACTTCAGAATTAGAAAAAAGAAGATAGATAGAAACAAACAGAACATAGATTGCACTTACCACATGTACACAAACTATTACAAAAAATTTCATGGTATCAGCTCAGTAACTGTGTTTTGAGGAATGGAAACATTTCGGTAATTAGTTTATGCGGTCAAGTTTAATCCACTCTACTTTTAGGTCCTACTATTTGGTCTCTTGTTTCCTTCACCTATTGCAATGTTGATGTTCCATGTTTTGCTCAGATGCGACCGAATCCAGTTTTCTTCATTAATCAACTTTGGTGGAAAAAAAATATCTACGGGTCGTTCTTGTGTTTGCTACTTGCATATTATTCCAACATCCCAAATATTTCCACAAAACTCTATATATTATAACCTTCTCAATCACTGATTTCTTTTATTTTTCATTAGAATCACGAAATACCACAACTACTTCATCCCTTTCTGCAAAAAATGGTCTTCTATTGATCTATTCTTATATATGTACTCTCAATAGTTGATGGTTACTTGCCTTGTTTTCAATGCATTCATATGAAAATCAATAACAATATGACTGATAATGATCAAATCAAAAATCTACTTCTTATTCGTATTGTAACTCAACTGTACTATTAAGGGTGCATATAAAGACGGAAAGCACAGAAACAAAAGCCGATCACAAGTTCAACAGACCAGTTCGTTTAATTTAGAAGTTGATTTTTAATAACCGCTAGAACAACAACAAAAACAGACTGAGATTACGAAAAGAATTGAACGATCCAATGAATGAATCCAGTAGGAAACCTCAATCACCGACCTTTTAATCGATCAAACAATGAATCAACCAAGAATTAGGTCATAAAATGAAGAGAAACTTACCCGAGAGGATTGAGGTTTTAGTCACTTGTTTGGAGTAATTGAGAGAGATGGGTCAACGATGGAGATATTTAGTTGATCCAAAAATGGCATCGCCTCCGGCGTCGGTCTCCACCACCAAAAAGTTGTGACCTATCAGACTCCTTCTACGGTGCCATTTTACCAATTAATCCACGATATCATATCATAGCGCAATTATATTTTAAGGGTGTCAAGGATTGGTTATAATGGAGTGTTTAGAATTCTTTATTTGAAATAATTTTTTTTATAAAAATATTTATTAATTTATTATAAGTTAAAAGAGTTTAACTTTTTTAAAAATATTTTATAATCGATTTGATACTGGTATAAGTTGTTTATCTAAACATTTAAAAGTGCTTATTATCAATGTCACATCAAAATAAGCCAATAAATTGTTTTATAAGCAATCCCAAACACCCCTAAAAACAACTTATTTACTTATTCCAGTGTGATACTTTGTGATTTATTTATAAGCTTTAACAACTTGAATCATGTTATAAAGACCTCTAAATTAAAGTGGTTTTACCTTCCAAATGATTAAAAAAAAATCTATTTAACAGATTTTAAAAAGTTTAAAGATTTATTTGTTCAAATAAATTGTCTAATAACTTAATCCTTGAAATTGAAAAAATTATCATTTATATACTACAATAATATTATAAACTCAAGGGAAAATTTGCATGGGTGGTTCGTGTTGGTTTACTCATACTCATGCTTTGCATCTTTAAGATGAAATAATTATAGAAAATATCTTTATAATTTACATTTTATAGTACTACGGATTCCTCATGTTAGCATCATTATATTAACTCAAAGGGCATTTATGTCATTTTATTCCCCTCTCAATATTTAATTAAATATTCAAATAATTATATTATATTTTAATTAAAATCAAGAGAAATAAATAAAATAACTTAAATGCCCTTGAGTTAAATGGGTTAGCAAAAATAAGTTAACGGTAAACACCTATGTCGTTATAGAATGTAAACCATATGTACCTTTTGTATAACTATTTAATTTAAAAAGCATACAATTTGATTTTTGGTAAACTATATGGACCAAATGTGTAACTTCTTATAAATCGAAACATGTTTCATTTTATTTACTTTATGTCTCATAACAGTGACTTTCCATCTCATTGTGTGTGTTTAAAAATGAAAATTACCATTTTTACGTTTATTGTCGTATCAGAGCATTCACATTGGTGGAACTTCTAAAAAACTGATTTGTTATATTTTCTTTATCTCGTATCATTATCAACTCAACAAAGTAAGAATCTTAATAAAGCTGTACAACGAAGATTCTTACAAAAAGCGCAATTTCCATGTTTTAATTTACTAGAAAAGTATTCACACAATGTAACGAGATACATCTTCAATTTAATATTTTGTTTTATTTTTTGTCTATATTGATATAATACGGTTTATGTGGTTTTGAGAAATATAATGTTTTTACTTTTGAGTAAAAAGAAATTTGAAAAAATATATCGATATTAATATCAAATTAACTATTCAAAAGTTCTCGTTTTTTTTTTACAATTTCTTTAGTTCAATTTTTTATTATAGTTTAATTTAGGTCAAATAGTGAAATAATTTATTTTTTGGCTTAATAATAAATTTTTTATAAATATAATAATTCTGTTATAACTTAATAATTATTCTAATTATATTTTAGATTTTTTATACTTAAAATGATATGTTTATCCTATATATGAATATATTCATCTGCAGTTAGTTATACGAATTCAAAAATTGAGCTTTAATAAGTTGTACTTACGCATAATTTACTTGTAACATTTAATTTTAAGTAATATGCATTAGTACACAGTACTTCATGCATAAAGAATGATTTTTAAAAGTATTTGTCAAATACTTTATAATATAATACTAGAAGCGTACTCGCGCAATGCACCGAGATACATCGTGATTTTAATATTTCATTTTATTTTTTTATCTCAGTCGATATTATAATATGGTTTTATGTGATTTTGAGAAAACGATGATGTTTTTATTTTTGAATAAAATATATGTTTGAAGATATCATAAAAATTTGACAAAAATATATCGATATTAGTATCAAATTAACTATTT